GCAGGCGCCGGCGGGGAGCGGCGCGGGGCGCCCGTGCCAGGCCGGGGGGCGCGCGGAGGCGCGCGGCGCGTCGAGGCCGGCACGCAGGGGCTCGCCTCCATTCAGCGCCGCAGGCGGGCGCGGGGAGCTGCAGGCCGTGCAGCGAGCCCAGCCCCCGAAGTGCCTTTCCCAGCCCGCCGCTTCCCACGCCAAGGGAGAAGTGCCTCCTGCCCCCTGCCCCGCCCTTGCCGGGGAAGCAGGCGCAAGGACACCCCCCCCCGCGCCACTTGAACCCCCAGCCCCTGCGCCTTTCCCCTCAGCCACTTCCTAAAGCGGGGGACGTGTGGCCTCCTTTGAGGTCGTTGGACTGCACCTCCCATCAGCCCCAGGCGGCATGGGCCACGGCCAGGGCAGCCCGGAGGTTCGGTCGCAACGAAGTCCAGCCACGCCGAGCTGCCGGGAGAGGCACTGCAAATGTCAGGCGCTGGCACAAGGTAGGGGCGGCAGGCGTCCTCCCTGGCAGGCCAGCCCCCCCCCCAGCTGGCATGTGGGTTCCAGGGGGTGGGCAGAGAGAACATCCCCCCCCCACTTACAGAGAAGGAACAGGAGTGCACATTCAGTCCAGGAATTCATGGGCAGCGCTGGAGTGGAGCTCGCTGGCCTGGCACTCCCGATTTCTTCCATCCAAGTACTCTTCCATTTCAGCAGCCTTTTTTTTGGGGGGGGGGGGTTGCAATGTCCTTGTGGTCGAACAACTTGGAGCCAGACATCCTTGGGAACCGACTGCCAACGGCCAGAAATCTGCCAGGTCGCAATTTACCTTCCGCCCACCTGAATGGAAGTAAACAGCTCGGCAGGCCAGGCCAACCAAGAAGAGTCCTCCTGGTTAGCCGCGTGGAGCGCATCCTCCAGTCGCTCTGCCACGTTCCCAGCTGTGCTTCCCTGCCCTGCCCCCACTGTACTGGGAAAGCTCAGTTCCCATCCATTGATCTTCCCACATCATTCCCATGCTTCCTCACTGAGCCAAGGTTGCTCATCCTTCAGGCCACCTTTTGCCTCCTGGTCAAAGAGGGGGCTCCCTTCCTGCGTTGCCAAATTGTTTGTTTAAATTTTTTCTAGACCATTCCTTACTGAAGTCTCAGGACGGTTTAACAATACAGTAGTGTAAAATAAAACGCAGCGTCCTAAAACATTCAACTTGACAATAAAAGCCCAATAAAAATCAGATCTTAAAACACTGGGAAAATAAAAAGGTTTTAGCCTGGCGCTGTGAAGAATAAGGTGATGGTGCCAGGCGAGCCCCTCTGGGGAGTGAATGCCACAACTGGGGTGCCGCCACAGAGAAGGCCCTTCTCCAGGTAGTCGCCCTCCGGCGTGTTCCCCAGGTAGTTGGCAAGAGAGGAGGTGTGAAAATGTGCCATCGCAATGGAAAATGAAGGCCAGGCTGTTACAGCCAGCACAGCAAAGCAGTGGGTTAGAGGTGCGGCTGATTTGCCGTCCACAACTCGGGGTCACAAAAGGAGGGTTCAGGTGACCGCACATAGCTTGAGAGAGGCCTGGACATCAGACCTTTGCTCAGGAGCTTCCAGAAGCGAGTGGCTGCTGGAAACACAACAGCCTGCTCCAGGGGTCACGTCCCATGACCTCTAGACCAGCATCCGGCCAGTGAGGGGTCTCTTAAAGCAGAATCCTTGGGAGGTTATCTGGAAAGGGAGGCCAACTGATGCAGGCAATGGGAAACGCACATGGTTGGAGTAACATGGAGAATGGTGACCGTTGGTGAGAAAGGGGGGGGTTCAGAAAAGGGGGGGTCCGAAGCCGCCTGGATTTGCAATTTCCTAGATTGCAAAAGGCTCGATGACAATACCGTATCTGCCCCTGTCTAGGTTCTACTACTTCTGCACTTCCTCTTTGCTTTATACGAGGATCATGAGGCTGTCTGAAAAAGCAATTTCCCTTCCTACAAATGTCTTTCTGGCAGGCAGAAAGAAACTGCTCCAGATTCTTACTAGGGGCACATGTGTGATACACAAACTGGGCTGTGAAGCATCCAGCATTTTCAGAGGTGTTCCTTAACATAAATACAACCCCAGATCCAGCATGACTTACAAGAGAAAACGAAGCATGGAACATCTTTTAAGACAGCTAAGCAAAACACAGCCTCCATTTTTTGGCCATGTGCCCCCCCCCCCCCACTAACCTTTGGCTGGTTTTTGGAGAGTTGTTGTTGTTCTGCTCGATGGTGCCTGGGGCAAATGATCCAGTTCCACCAGCACCTGCAGAAAGAGAAGGCTTCCTTCTGGACAGGAGCAGAAAGAGAGGAGGGACTTGAAATAACAAGAAGCTACTTTCGGTTAGAAGTGGAGAAGAATGGATTTTGGGCTAAGGGTTCAAGAAGCAGGCTGATGCCAAGTCATACCCCTCTTCTTGGATGGGCAGTAGCTTTTTCCTAGCTCTGTTATCCCAGAATCAGCCACTTCCCCTTTCCTCTGACCTCTTGGGGGTTTCCCAGATTTTGCGCAATCATTTTCCCCTTTCTAAAAGTTGAAATACCTCCCTGAAAGCTTAGCCTGGGGTATCCAGTTCCCATCCTCCCAAGATGCAAGGGTGGTCGTGATGGGCCTGGTTGTAAGCCATGCAGGTTTTCCCGCGGAAGTGGTTTGCAGAATCCCCCACGCCCAAGTGCAATGCACAGAGCATCCCTCAGTCGCCACCCCCACTAACCAAGTAATGTGATACCCATTTGGTGACCAACGTGGAATTTGATTTTCGTGGCAGGTGCAAGGATGGTGGAGGGGTGCTTCGCAGTGACCTCCAGAGGCTCCGCCTCGAGCAGCTGGCTTTCCGGTCTGTTGTCTCCATGACTGGAGGAGAGCTGAGGCTTTACCTGGGGGGAATGCAAGGCAGGGCTGGTCAGAAGGTCAGCTGAGATCTGCAGGGTGATGGTTGGGCAGTTCCCGGGATCTTGGCAAGGGTCCACAGTTGGCAGCAGGGCTGGACATGGTTGGGTGAGGTGCCCTTTCAAGGGCCTCTGGCCAAAGCTTGCCGGAGCTCCCCCTCCTCTTACTTATTTGATGTATGGCCAACTTTTTTCTTACGAACACAAAGTGGCTGACATGCTTCTCCTCCCCCTGCTCTCCATCTTCTCTCCACAACAACCCTGTGAGGTAGGTTGGGCTGAGGATCAATGACTGACCCAAAGCCACCCAGTTGGCTCCATGGCTGAGCAGGGGCTCGAACCCAGGCTGCCTGGCTCCTCTTCTCATGGTCCCTGGCAGCCTGCTTGTTCCCTGGCCTCTTGTCTGGCCAGCTTGGCACTGTCTAGATGCTTTGGAATGGGCTCCCATCATCCCCAGCCAGAATGGACGCTGTTTGGGATGCTGGGAGTTGTTGCATAGAACATCCAAAGGCATGTGCTGCAGCGGCTGCTTCCCCCAAGGCTCTGCAGCCCAGCTGTCCTCACACTCGGCACCTTTTGTCGACAACGTTCCTGACTGAAATTGGGCTGTACGTCCTTCAGGCTGCCTCTTCCTCAAAACACCACACAGAAGTTTGCTCCCTGCCGCAGCCCCCATCCGGAGCTTGGGAACGCCGCCTGGATGCAATCAAAGCGATCTGTGTGGTGCTGCTGACCATCCCCTTCGAAGCATCCAGGCTGAGAGGGCCACTGGCTTGGACTTCTTCCTTCTGGAGCCATGGAAAGATGGGGAGCTTAGCTTGGAGGCAGGCTTTGTGAGGTACTCCCAGTGCGGCCTTCTGGAAACCAAAAGAATCAGAAGCGCTGCGGTTTGGAAGTGTGTGACTTCGTAAATACCTCAACTCAAATGAGGGAGCCGATTCTGGCTGGACATCCGGAAAACTTGCTGACCTTTAGAGCAGCACAGCAGTTGACCCCTTGATCTAGGGAAAAGGTTGGGCTCTCCCACACTGGAGACTTTCAGGACGCAACTGGACAGCTAGCGATGCCTGGACTGGGAGTCCTGCGTGGAGCAGGGGGTTGGATCTAATGTTCTGATAGGTCCCTTCCAACTCTACTATTCTGATTCCACCACAAGCCTAGTGGACCTGGTGGACACAAGGAGACATAACAACTACATACACCCCTAATCACATAAAGATGGGGCCTTCAGTTGAGCCGGAATGTTCTGAAGCCTATTGCAGGGTGCCTTCCCTCCTTTCTCTGTTTTAGCACATTTTCCTCCTCTCTGAATGCCTTCTTCACACCTTTGAAGGGGTGCAAAAAGATTTTGCACTGCATGAACTGCAGGGAAATTTGACATTAGCAAAATGAAGGTGGTGGCAGGCACTTCTTAATTGACCTTAGAAGAAAGCAACTGTGAAGTTGATAGCCAAAAATAGCCTCACAAACCTGATTCATCAACTGGCTTTTCAACAGGAAGCTGCACAGAACCAAGATGAAGTTTAACAAGGGAAACAGAAGCAACTCAGAAGGGACGAATGACCCATGAGTCTTTTTTTTAGAGAGAAAACAGATTTCAGAAAATGGCAGAGCCAGTTTGGAAGAATCCCATGCATTGGTACACAGCAAGACTTTTTGCTCTCCTTTGTCAAGCTCTAGAAGGGCTGGCAGAGAAAACTGCCCTCTTTCCGTTTGCAGCAAGAGCAGGCTGTGAGCAGCACTGATCAGTTCCCATAATGTCACCGAGTTGCCTTCTATTTCAGCCCCGGGGGCAATTTTGCAGCTGACT